ACTTAAACTACTGAGCAGTAAACAGCAGTGTAGTAATATACTCTTTATAATAAAGCTTCCCTCAGGGTAGACAAAGTAAATTATGCTTGAAAAATAATTTATTCTGAGGTTCCAACAATTATATTCATTATAGATTAATCTCCAGTGGGGGACTTCATTATCTAGAAAAAGCTCTGCAACTGTAGCTTGTTTTTAAAGCAGGAAGCAGCCCATCTGTTCTTCATCTGCTGCTTTCTGATGGTCCTGACACAGACTGAAGGTCAAAGGTCAAAATCTGACAAAACAAGAGTATTTCTCAGGTGGTCAAAGTGAATCCACAACTGGTGGTCAAAAGGTGATTCAACACAGGAAGAAAATGTTAGACATACATGAGAACATCTCTCATCATTGCACAGTAGAGGAATCAATAATACTGCTCCACAAACACAGAAAAGATAAACACGTCCACTTCAACACCTTCATTTCTCTCTCAATTATTTCAATCCTCTTTCAGTTTTTGTTTCTCTGAATTCCTTCCTTAACCGAAGAAAAAGTATCATCTTTAAGCCTTAAACACTGTTTAATGCTACCACATTGGGAAAGCTACACTGCTTGTCTTACGGATGTCTAAAAGATCCCTTTGTTCTATTTTTGTTTGGATAAAAAATCTGCGAAAATCTGTTTTTTTTTTGTTGGTTTTATTGAAGAAAACTAAATTCTAGATCATGAAATGAGTACATGCTCCAACAAGGTCATTTGGGTCTGTTTGAGTCTCATTTCTGACAGAAATGGTGTATAAATGTCAGCTAAGCAGCAAGCGATAATCCGTAGTGGTTGCTACTAGCAACACAACACCCGACCGCAACCAGCTGCTGGTGGAAGAATAATAACCAAACTTTGATTAAAATGATCCCAAGAGTATACATATATTCTGAATCAACACTGCTTATGACAGCCTCTTCATCTTTCTTCATGGTGGTCTGAAAGTGAAGTGTCTCAGTGAAGTGTGTGTTCAACCAACTTTATTGCTTTCTCTGTGGAAACTGGGGAACAAGTTCTTTTTAATAAAACTTCCAAAAATAGAGCCCCATGTCCAGTTGTGTTGAGGGTACAGCTGTCAATAGACGATGATGGAAAGCAACAAAGTGTAGGCTATATTGACTCAGGCACTGTATCTGGCAGTTTACATGTTGCTCCAATACATTATACCTTTAAAGGAATAATTAGACTTTTTTTTCACTGTCTTGAGTATTTATTCCACCACCACTGACTATGAGACAGACTTTGAATACTCACTATATTTAGTATTTGACTCAGAAAGACACTGGAGGAAGGAACAGAAACAGCCTGTTCCCCGGATCCTGCAGGCTCCAATCAATAATAGACTATTGACCATAAACATTATCCTACTGTATATGTTTTCATTTACGCACAAGTAGGCCTGTCACATATCAAATTCAGAAAAAACAAAACAACTAATAATAGATGAAATGTTAATAATTTAAGAAGCATTAATCTTTTTATTGCCTCTCTCTGTCTTCAGCTCATCCCCCAGTTCTTCTTCATCTGTTTGGGAATGGGCGGGGCATCTCTGTATCTGATCAGGTTGGCCAAAGGACCCCATGTCACGTAAGGGCCTTTCACTTATAATGTGCAACAGAGATAATGTGTAAAAAGTCAGTATGATGATGAACTCACTTTTAAGCTGTTAGATGATGTAAACATCTGTATTTTCTTAATTAAGATTAATTAAGATAATTAAAAACATTTTCCCATCATTCTTTAACCAGATGTGTCACCTTTCACTAGGAATCTAATTATTAACTAGTTATCTTGTTAATAGGTGTGTTTTCCCCAGTTTAGACGTTCTTTTTTCAACTCATTGACAGACAATTATACAGCAGTTTCCAAAGAAGAATCAATGCCCCCTACAGGGCGGAGCACACCACCATAAATATTATTATTAAGATGAGTTAACAACGAAATTATGGATTTTATAGTAATTAAACTTCCTTCCTCTTATAATTCCTGAAATGTTGATTTACCAACATTTTAAAAAGGCATGTGGAGGGCAGGTGAATAATTAAACTCTTAATGAAGAGAGGAATTTGTTTTATGATTGTGTTTCTGACAACGGGATCTCCGCTTGCAGTCATTTCCCCCTCAAATTGCCTCTTATTGGACTTCCTCTCCTCCTGCTGCTATCCAAACTGTTGCCTGCTGAAGATACTCCAGCAGGCACAGCGAAGTGCTTTTAACAAGAGCTCACATGGTGATGCACTGTCTTGTCTCCTTACAGATCTTTCACCATTTCTTTGCAGCAGTGATTGTTTACAAGCTTGATTAAACCATTAGAGAGTGTCCTGGTGGTGGCACAGTAGGCTTAAGAGTTTGAATCTGACCCTCAACTTTTGGTTGCCTTTTATTTTATTTTATGTTTTATTGTAATCTATCAAAGCAGACATGACATAAAGCAGCTCTCAGGGGGTATCAGATCACTTGGGAATCAATATGGAAATGAGAGCTTTATTCATGTATATCAGATTATCACTGGGCCTAATTTATTCTGTTTATTTATCTGTTTGTGTGTTTAGCTGGAACAAGACCAATAACCCTGAGCCATGGAATAATCTTGACCCCACATACCAATATAAGGTAATACAGCACACCACAGTATTTAATGTTAGGAAACTGTGATGACATTCTAACTGTAATTTGATTTATTTTCTCTTCTCCCTCAGTTTGTGGCCATCAGCACAGACTACAAAAACCTGAAGAAGGACGGACCTGAGTTCTGAATTTCTCCCCGGCCACCTCTCACAAACCAGAATGGAAAAACAACAACAAATCCTGACCTAGGATCAGATTCACTACCCCTCCCTCATTTGACATCCTCACTGCAGGTGGAAGGTGCAGTGGCTCCTGGATCCAGATCTCTAACCCTTTGGTGTCTCTGTGTCTGCATGTTTGGTGTTTGCAACGTAGCTCATGATCTGGTCAATGTTTGTCAGTGACTGAATCCTGAATGCATGTATGAATATGGCAAAATAAAATATGTAGTATTTTGACATACTTTATTCAGGAGAGATATGACACACATATGCACACATGCTTATATGCTTATGTCTTAACTTTCCTGGTCTCTTTCACTTGTATATTCATGAACTGAGGAGTAAGCAACAAGATTTAGTAACATTTTGCTATTTTTTAAAGCACCAGACCAGTGGTATTGCATTTTTTAGCCAATGCAATAAAAATTAATTAATATTAAACATCATATCTAACAGTTTTATTAACCATTGTGCTGAGTTTTAGAAATTTCAGTGCATTATTTTGAATGTTTCAGGCATTTGTTGGGTTTTATTCACTTCTGTACAATATGAAAATCCATTATAAGACTTCCAAAACCTGCAGTGGATTATGCAAATAAACTTCAGGAGTGTGCCAATTGATTTTTGTATTGTGCAGAAATAAATGGAGATGAATAGATGCCTTGAACAGAGCAAAAAATACACACAAAAATCTAAAACTGTAGAATGCATTCAAAAATGGTCATACATATATATAATTTGTAGTGTATTGTGCACTCTGGTGTGCTTTATTTTCACTGTCTGAGGGTTGAAATCTACAGTGTCTTCTTCTGTGTGAAACTTTAACTATACGTTATATAAAAGCTAATTTGTGACTTGACTGCAGGTGTTGCTTTATAGCTGGCACATGATTGTAGGTTTAGCAGCCCCTAAATTCAGCAATCAGTGTGCAAGTTATGAAAAAAGGCAGAGATGTATAAAATAAATAAACTGTCTGAGTCATGTCTGGATGAGAGTGGGTTTGTTGCCAATCTGCACCGTCACACACACACAGACTTTTCCTCAAACACCTGCATGGAACTGAGTCAGATAGAGATCTTTTTCCACATCCTAAGATAAAAATACACAATCAGTAACTCTGATGGAACAGATCCATCTGTTGGCAGTGCAGCTGTCACTTTGCAGCCTGATTGGTGCTTCTACGACCATATTTAGTAGTGTGTGTGTGTGTGTGTGTGTGTATTTGCCTGTATGCGCCACTGTGTGTGACAGCAGCCTTGAGTCTTTGATCAGCTACAGCAGTGGCAGGATGCTGAGCAGTCACCCAGCATGGTGTTGATGTATGACAGCAGAGCACAGTGTGTACAACCTGAGTGTACACACACACACACACACACACTCACACATCTAGGTAGCATATATACCACGTACAGGATGGAAAACAAACAGACTGATGAGGTAAATCAAGTGAAAACTCTCTCTCTCTAATTGATTGTTATCATCTAAATGCCTTTAAAAACATCTTTTTATGTCTTTAAAAAGACTAAAGTTGAGATCATTTTAAATTATTAAGAATTCAAAGTAATTAGATTAGAAACAAACGTTGGCTTCAGTCATCTCTGCTTTCTCTATTCTTGCTTCATTCTCTAGATGATGGAGAGTAATTAAATACACATGTGGGATGTATGACTACATGGCATATGTTGTCCTTTTTTGAGACTGAACCCTTTGTCATGTTGAATCTTGACATACAGTGTTTATCCCTCCTTAGTTTTCCTCTTTATTAACTTCCTCAGTAACACCCTTGCCACTTCTGAAGGATAAATGAAAAACAAGCCCTTAAATTCTTACAGGCTTTGTTCACTGAAGGTGAGACTCATGTTTCATCCTCTTAAGAAACCTCAGACCTCTCTTTCGGCTCTCTGTGCTCTGAGCTCATATTCATCTTTGCTCCTTGTTATACAACAAAAAGAGCGAATGAAGAGAGAATAAAGAAGAGCCAACATCAAAAAATCATCCTACTTTTAAACACCACGGGGATTGCTGAGGAGAGGGCTAGAGCCCTAGAACGATGGAACATGAGGGATCATTTGATTTCCCTAAAGGATATTTGAAAGCTTTAAAACTCTCTCACACACACACACACACACACACACACACACACTGCGTCAAAGGAGTTGTCAGGTCATGAGAAACAGGCACAGAGATGAAGCCGATGAGCCATTATTTGTGTTGTAAGGCTGCGTGTGTGTGCGTCCTTATTTTTGCTTGTGTGTGTTTTCTGACGACAGAGCTGAGAGCTTCCCTGCCCTTTGACCTGTGATACAGCTGGCCAGTCTCTGTGGAGGGGACACATTCCTTTGGCAGAGACTGAAGCAATAACCTTCAACCGTAAAATTGGAAGACGGACTGAAAAGCTGAGCAGGACACAAAGACGTCTGACATCAAACAAAAGTCCATTTAGTTCTTCAGTGGAATAAATATTTAGCGCTCCAATAGGCAGCAGCAGCGCTTTATGTTGCAAAACTGATTTAGTGTTGCTTTATAAAACACTTGAGAGGAAACTTTCCATCCAGAATAAGAGCTAAATACATCAAAATAAAAGAAACAACAAAGTTTATATTTTTTTCCCGGAGTGAAAGAAAGAGGAGGCCAGTTTTTTAATCTGTGTTATCTCAGAGTATAAAGATCTGACTGCAGAAATTTGAGAATCAGTGGGAGACGAAGCTTTTGAATAAATAGAAGTTCTGAAGGTTTTGTGAGGACGGTGAAGGACTCTGGTGTTATAATAATAATGCTCTCATCTTCTTGTGTATATAATATAATGCTGTCTGTGTTTATTAGCATTATCTACTGTGGGGTTGCAGGGTGACATAAAGAGAAACTATCACAAACATAAAATGTTCTTAAAGGAAGCAGGAAATCCTGCAAATGGCTGAGTGAAGATGATCTCATCTCGACCTCCTGCTTGGAAGCCTTGTTTTTTTTAGAGTCTGGTCCCCCTACACCCAAAAATGTATTTTTCTTCTTAATGCTACAGTTAGATGTTTGAGTTTCACTTTGCAGAATGATGTATGTGCAGAGTTTGACGAGAAGGATGTTTTCACATTCACCTGCTGAAAGTGTAAAGTTTCTCTGATTTGAAGGGGCATGATTTGTGACATCACAAATAGTTTGGAAGCCAATCCTGGTCCAATTTGCAACTTATACAAGTGTAATGTAGAAACTTGAAGCCACCAGGGCACATACACTGCAAATGGACTTGACAATCAAGTAGGGGACATCTTGTGTCCAGCAGGAAAACTTAAAGGGGAACTTGGCAACTCTAGCCATTTCTTCGGGGGTCACCATTTTCACCAGAACAGGCCAGTTAACCATCCATAATGATTTCTAAACGGGTTTATTAAGCTGAAAAATGTTGCAAAGTTCCCCTTTAAGAAAGGGACACAAAATTTGCATTGTACATTCTAAAATTAGGTAAAAGAGTAAATGCCTTGTTTAAGAATTTGAAAGGAGCTAATATGACCCCCGTTTAGTGGCATCTTGTGGTAAAGTTTGGCTGCAAAGTAAAGGAAACCCATGAAAAAGCCCCCGTGTGACAGCGCCTGAATCCAGAGCCAACGTGGTGGTTTGTCCGATCTGGGGCTAGCGTTCAGAATGGCAGAACTCCATGGAAGGTGACCGCGCCACCTCGTGTAGGATAAAAACGTCTCATCCGTAAGTAACAAAAACATAATGATCCTATATTCAGGTGGATTATATGTCTTTATTTTCTGCCTGGTAGATCCTCCACAAATGTTAACGACCACTAGACTTTTAATGTGAAAAATTCGAACTTATTTTTTGTGAAAATCAGACACGCAGTTATTGTTCCAGCAGATATTGTATATATCTGGTAGGATCTTAATTGATATGAAGCGATCATGAAACTACATCTCATCTCAACATACCAACAATCATAACACTATCCCAGGTGAGATAAGAGGGCTGAAGTCCACTGAATGACTGAATCCAAAAGTTATAGAAGTCAGTGAAAAGCATCTCCTATCTATATTT